AGAAATTCTCCATTGGTTGTAGTTGAATTCCAACATCTGGTATCAGAGCTCCAGTTGTGATTCAAGGAAAAAAAACCGTGATGGCGATGAATCATCCAAACAGACACTTTTCGACAAACCTTCCAATTATCAAGAAAGATAATTATGAGAATTGTTGCAAGCAAATTAAGATGGTTTTTTGTTATCAAGATCTTTAGGATCTTGTGAAGGAAGGAGTAACACCACTTGCAGAAAACGCGACGAATCAAGAAAATGTTGCACACAAAGAATTGAAGAAGAAAGATTATAAAACTCTCTTTATAATCCATCAATGTTTTGATCCAGATAATTTTGAAAAAAGTTAGTGATGAAGAATCAGCGAAGGAAGCGTGAGAGATTCTTGAAAAATCATTTGGAAGAGCAGAGAAGGTGAAAGAGGTGAGGTTACAAACTCACAAGAGAACCTCTGAATTGCTTTAGGTGGAAGAAAGTGAAAGTATAACAGATTTTTTCACTAGGGTTACAAAACTAGTGAATCAAATCAAGGTATGTGGAAAAGTGTTGACATCAAGATTAATTGTTACAAAAATCTTGAGGTCATTGACTCCAAAGTTCGACTATGTGGTAGTAGCCATAGAAGAGTCGAAAGACTTGTCAGTATTGATGAAGGAAGACTTTCAAGGAACGCTTGAGTCTCATGAATAAAGGATGGCTGAAAGAGTTGCAGGAAAGTAGAATAGTGATATGGCTTTGCAGGCGCGGTTAGAAAAAGAAAAGAAATGCAAAGGAAGCTGGAATGGAAACAAAGGTAGAGGAGGCTACAACAATTCGACTGATCGAAATCAGCAGGAAGGAAACTGGTTGAATCAAAGAAAACCCTTGAATCAAGGCAACCAAAGAGGTGGTGCTGCAGGTAGAGGAAGAGGTGGTGGTTGAAATCCTGAAAAAAGTCACATTCAGTATTTCAATTATCAGAAGTATGGTCATTATTTTAGTGAGGGTTGAGAAAAGAAGAAGAATCCAAAAACTGATGTGAAGCTGGCGAAACATGAAGAAGAAGAGATGTTGCTGATGGTCACAACAAGAGATGAAGAAAGATTCCAAGATCAGTGGTACTTGGACTCAGGATGCTCATCACACATGACTGGAAGGAAAGATTGGTTTGTCAACATAAAGCCATCGATGAAGAACATGGTGAAATTTGCAAATGACAATACTCTAGCAGCTGAAGATATTGGTGATGTTATGATTATGAGGAAAGATGGCAAAAGCTCAGTAATTTCCAATGTGTTGTACATACCAGGCATGAAGAGTAATTTGCTCAGTATAGGGCAGTTGGTCGAAAAGAACTACAAGATGTCGATCAAAGACAAGATGATGAGAGTTATTGACTCAGGATGTATGTTAATCTTGAAGGCTTCAATGACTCAGAATAGGATCTTCAAGATTGAACTTAATGCAATAGAACATAAGTTCCTTGTAACTGTAGCCAGTAGAGATAAATGGATATGGCATTATCGACTTGGCCATCTTAATTTCAAAGACATCAAAGATTTGAAGAGAAGAAATATGGTTTCAGGATTACCAAAAATCGACATTCCAAGTGAAGTGTGTGAAGAATGTGTTCAGGCGAAACAACACAAAAATATCTTCAGTAAGCATGCAAGAAGCAAGTCGAAGGCAATTCTCGAAGTTATATACTCTGATGTATGTGGTCCTATCCAGGTGGATTCGATTGGAGGTAAGAGATACTTTTTCACGTTCGTAGATGATTTTAGTCGAAAATTATGGACTTACCCGATCAAGAAGAAAAGTGAAGTGATTGAGGTATTTTCCAAATTCAAGTCTATGGTCGAAAGCTAAAGATTCTGAGGACTGATGGTGGTGGAGAGTATGTGTCGAAAGATTTTGATGCATTATGTGAGAAAGAAGAGATTGTGCATGAGGTGGTGTCACCCTACACTCCACATCAGAATGGAACTGCAAAAAGGAAGAATAAAACCATCATAAACATGGTAAGAAGTATGTTGAAAGGCAAGAATCTACCAAAAGAACTATGGGGAGAAGCTGCATCGACAACAACATACATCTTGAACAGATGTCCAATGAAGAAGCTATAAGGAATCACACCAGAAGAATGTTGGTTTGGTGTCAAGCCTAGTCTAAGTCATTTGAAGGTGTTTGGATCTATAGCACATAGACATGTGCCAGATTAGTTGAGAACAAAGCTTAATGACAAGTCGAGTCAGATGATCCTAATATGATATCATTTGACTAGAGGATACATGTTGTTCGACCCAGTGAACAAACAAGTAGTGATCAGCAGGAATGTGATCATAAATAAACTTAAGGAATGATATTGGATTGAGAGTGTTAAAAAGGACTCAGTGAGATCTTATGTGAAGAACCAATTAGTGAAGTCGAAAGAGAAGTTCGACAAGAAGAAGTCAGAGGTGAAACAAGCCCAAGTAGACCTCAATAAACAAGACACATGCCTGCAAGGTTGCAAGAGTGTCTGATTAGATCAGTTGATATGGTCGATGAAGAAGGGGAGATGGTGCACTATGCTTTCTACGCAAATGTCGGACCAGTCAATGCAGCTGAGGCATTGGAAGATTCAAAGTGGGTGAAAGCAATGAATGAGAATTTAGACTCCATCAAAGTCAACAACACATGGTCACTTGTTGAATTGCATCAAGGCAAGAAGGAAGTTGACGTGAAATGGATTTACAAGGTAAAGGTGAATCCTAAAGGAGAAGTAACTCGACACAAAGTGAGACTTGTGGTGAAAGGATTTCTTCAGAAGAAAGGAATTGACTTCGACGGAGTTTTTGCACCTGTCACTAGGATCGAAACAATCATGTTGGTTGTTGGTCTAACAAACATGGAAAATTGACACACATGTCAGATGAATGTGAAATATGCATTCCTGTATGCCCCGTTAGATGAAGAAGTTTATGTTGCACAGCCAGCTGAGTTTGTGAAACAAGGCAAAGAGAGAAAGGTGTACAGGATGCATAAAGCCCTGTATGGACTAAAGTAAGCTCCAAGAGCTTGGAATAAGAAGATCGACAACTTTCTAAGGGAGAAGAAATTTGTGAAGTGCACGACTGAGCATGGAGTACATGTAAGGAGAAGCAATAGTGAATTGCTTATATTATGTCTCTATGTCAATGATCTGTTGATAACAGGAAGTTGCAAGAAGGAGATCGAAGATTTCAAACACGACCTAAAGTGACGAGTTTGAAATGTCAGACTCATAAAATCTCTCATATTTCCTTGGCATCGAATTCTACAAGAGTAGTAGAGGTTTAATGATGCACCAAAGAAGATATGCAGGCGAAATACTCAAGATATTTGAGATGCAAGATTGCAACCCAACTTCGACTCTAGCTGAGACCAGATTACAAATGTCAAAGAATTCAGATGAAGATGATGTTGACCCAACCCAATATAGAAGACTTATTGGGTTACTTCGATACCGTTGTCACACAAGGCCTGACTTAACATAAAATATGGGTATAGTAAGTAGATTCATGCAGAAGCCAAAGGTATAACACCTAGCAGCGACGAAGAGGATACTGAGGTATCTGAAAGGAACTCTCGACTATGGCATTTTGTTTCCTGCAGTTGATAAAGGAAATGAATGCAAGGTAGTGGGATACACTGATTCAAGTTGGTGTAGTGATGCTGAGGATAGAAAATTCACAGTTGACTATGTGTTTATGCTAGGTGGTGCACCAGTTGCTTGGAGTTCGAGAAAGGAGGCAGTAATGACATTGTCGTCATGCGAAATAGAATACATAACTGATTCTCTTTGTGCATGTTAGGCAACATGGATGGTGAACCTGGTCGAAGAGATTACAGAGAAGAGTCATGGAGCAATTACCATGAAGATCGACAACATGTCAGCTATCAACCTGACAAAGAATCCAATAGTACATGCTCGAAGCAAGCACATAGAAATGAGGTTCCATTATCTCCGTGAGCAGGTAGCAGAAAGGAAGATAAATTTGGAACACTGCAGAACTGAGAATCAGATTGCAGATATCATGACAAAATGAGTGCAAGTCGAAGTGTTCAAAAAGTTAAGGTCTATGATGAATGTAGATAACTTAGACACAATGAATTAGGTGGTGTGTTGAATTTGTAATTCCTTGTGTCGAAGCAGTGTAGTTCGACAAAAACAATGTCTAGTTGATTTAGCCTAATGTGTGTGTCGAGTTGTATTAATGTGTGTCGAAGTGTCGAAACAGGTTGTTTCACACATGATTGCGATTTAGGTCTATTTTAGTAATGTTAACTATTTTGGTCTTTTATAGTTTTGCACTTTGCCTTAGGGTGCAAGCTAACCTAAATCTATAAATATGGAGTAACCCTTATTTTGTAAACACAACTCAGAATATTGTATTCACAGTTTGTAGTTGCAAGTGAATAAGAGAATTTCCACACGGGCATAGAGAACTCTGCATAATTTTATTTTCTTCTCCAACGTTTCTTTCTTTCTTTCTAAATCTTTTCATTATCTTCAAGATTGAATATGAATTCTCTATAGGTCGTGGTTAAATTCCAACATTTACTTTTTAATGTCATTTAAAATTTCTTAAATTTAACTTAAATAAAGTACTTCATAGATTTATATAATTTTAAAAATTCTCTATATTTTTTATTCAACCAAATTTTGATCAAATCATTTTAATTTTTATTAAAAAAAATTACTTTACTTATTCCAAACACTATAAGGATACTTAAAATTTCATTTTTTTTTCTATAGAATAATTTGTACGAAAGGTTCAAATACACAGTATAATAAGAGTAAAGCCGAAATTGACTTTAATTAAGAGCAAATTAATTAAACTTTCAATTAATCACACAGCTAATGAGTTTAATTAGAGCAATCGCAGCTTTCAATTGAAGTAAACGATAGGACTCAAAAATTCGAAACTCAAATAAACAAACATTTCGAGATTCGATACTGTGACTTCATTGCGTAACTAACTTCACAGATTCATTCAAAAATCATGATAACTGTTTCCGATTGGATCCGTTCATCTTCGAATCAACACATCGATTTGTACAAGCAATGGTTCAACTTGGCAGATTCAGGTTTTTTTTCTACTTGCGTAGTTTTTCATCAATTTTTCTTTTCGTTTTTCATTGATATTGTTGCTTGCTCGAAGATGGCGATGGCCGTGTCACTGGAAATGATGCCACCAAGTTCTTCGCTCTCTCCACCTTGTCTCGCCCTCAACTCAAACAGGTATGTATGTAACTTCCTTCCTTTTTTCAATTTTTGTTTCTCATTTCAATTGCAATTAAGTTGCATTGAACTCTTTTTCATTGGTTTAGCTGGCTTAATTGTATTGATTTACTAATAATTTCATTTTTCTTTGTATCTTAGGTTTGGGCGATTGCTGATACCAAGAGACAAGGTTTTTTAGGTTTTGAAGAGTTTGTTACTGCAATGCAGGTTATATAGATTTTGAAAAAGTAAATGTTGAGTTTTAATATGGATGGATTATGTGATGTTGGAATCTGACTTTTAAATTTTATGTTTGTTGTGATAAACAGCTCATTTCTGTGGGTCAGGCAGGATATGATCTCAACTCGGATATACTTAAAACTGAAAGTAAGTTTGCGGATTAATGGGTTTTATTTTATGGCGTAAATTGTTTGCATTGATTAACGATAAGAGAAACTATTAGGATAGATCTTGAGATTAACGAGTGGGATAAAAATATGATTTTTGATAGAACATTATGGCGTAGTTTGATTCATGTAGCCGACCTCACTTAGTGGGATAAAGTTTGGATGTTGGAAATTGTTTGCGTTGCTATTTATCCTATCAAAGGAGTGAATGTGCTTTGCTCCTTCCATTTGTTATTGTTCTCGTCTGAAAATATAAGTCATCCTCGAGAGAGGTTGAGTGTGATGGATTCGCCAGTGCTGGCTGTCTCCATGGCGGTACCGATCCTCCAAAAGGCACTCCATATATAGTAGTGAAGTTTAGGGATTCAAGATACCTCAAATAGGGTTGAAGATATTCCTTGTATAGAAAGTTAATGAACTTCCTTATTGGCCTTGGTATACTTGTTCTGGTCTCAATTGGTTATTCCAGTCGAGTTATGGATATCCAACTTGTCACGATAAGGATGATGAAGTGTGGTCTCGTGTCATGACCTCTATCTGTCGACTGTAAATCATTCGGCTTGATACTGGGCACTCAATGTATAGCTACAAGGCTTAATTAATGGATGCCAACAAGAGAAAGTTCATCAATGTTTAATTTCTTTGGTATTAATATTATGCATTTAAATTTCAAAGAATATTGAAACAGCAAACAGACCTGAGAAAATCTGCTGGTCTTAATAATTGCAGAAATGGGTAACCTAGTTCATGAACCACCTAAACAGGGAGGGTGTTGGCCTCAATTTGCATAATGATGATATATGTATGTAAATACTAGGTGTTGTTGGATTGAAAGAGACTGAATTTCCCTTCAGTCTTATTACTTGTGCTATTTATTCTTGTAAATGCATTTAATCATCCCATTTCTTATTAATTTCAGTTGACAGCGACAAGATCAAACCTCCAGTCTTGGAAGGAATTGATGCACTAGTAGCAGTAAGCAGTGCTTTCTATCACTATGCTGTATCAATTAGATTGTATATTATTTATGTTGATTTGTTATCTGTTTGCATTTTTTAGAATACAAAGAGTCCGGCAATAAATGCACAACCCGATGTATTTGGTTAGACATGTATTTTTTTTCTTTCTTTATTAATGACACTGTATTGTTTAATTAATATTGATTGAATTATTTTATTGATAATACTTAGGGACTGGCCAGCTTCAGCCTTTTCCACGAGCTGCTTCAAAATCTGCAAAGAAGGTGAGTCCTCCAAATATATGTCCATTTTTGGCAAAATGTTTTTTTTTCCTTTCTTTTTAATAAATATGAAAGCCATAAAAAATCTAAAATAATGAAAGACCACCTTTCTTTTGTCGTTGAACTACAAATCTGTAAAAATATGGTCATTGGTGCGGTCACTATTTCATATTTCTAATGGACTAATGATAGTTAATTTTTCGATGCTTAAATGAAAGGTCTTCTTTTATTACTGAATGCTTTGTTTATTTTCTTTTTTACTTGGACGAATTACTATGAGGCAAATACATTTATAATTAACAACTATCTCTGTTGCTCTCATTCATTGCATTATGAATCAGAAAATGCATGCACGGGAATATTAAAGTGATCTAATTGCTATGTAAAAACAATTTAAAATGTGCAGTTGTGAATTAGTTTCGTTGCAAGCTCTACTATGTATGCCCTTACTTTATTTCTATTTCTTGCTCGATATATTCTAATATAGTAGCTTCTTTTTTTTTAGTTACCCCTCAATGCAGTGACATCAATAATAGATGGCCTGAAGAAATTGTATGTGGAGCGGCTAAAACCGTTGGAGGCTACTTATCGATTCAATGATTTTGTGTCTCCATTATTGGTAAGTGCTATATCAATAAAGTATGCTATTTGGTGTACATACCATGTGTGAATGGGGTTGTATCATGATTCATGGTATATTATTCATGTAATTATGACAAATCAAGTTAGGATGTCTATCATTTGTCCCTTTCAGACCAACAGTGATTTTGATGCTAAACCAATGGTCATGCTTCTCGGTCAATATTCTACAGGGAAAACAACATTCATTAAACACTTGCTAAGATGTGAATATCCAGGTTAGTTAAGTGTGGTTGATCTAGCACTGCATTATATAAATTCCTTCATGCATATAATTTGACGATAAAGGGATATAAATTCCTTCATGCATATAATTTGACAATAGAGGGATATAAATTCCTTCATGCATATAATTTTACAATAGAGGGATATAAATTCCTTTATTAATTTTGTATCACCTTACTCTTGATACAGGGGCGCACATTGGACCAGAACCTACGACTGACAGATTTGTCGCTGTCATGGTATAATAATCTTTTTTTTTCTTTTCTAGTATTGCCTTTGGAAGTTAATCAAATCTAAATAAAACATTTATTTTTGGCATGTGAGAGATCACTCTGCAATTGTGAATTAGTTCCATTATGTTCAGAGGTTCAAAGCTCAATATCTTTTTATTTGTAGTCTGGAACTGATGAGAGGAGCATTCCTGGAAATACTGTAGCTGTTGATGCTAGCATGCCTTTTAGTGGCCTCACAAGCTTTGGCAGTTCATTTTTGTCAAAGTTTCAATGCTCTCAAATGCCACATCCAGTGAGTCTTCTTTATATCTTTCCAATTCCACTGTTGCTCGATTGGCATTTTTGCCCTTGAACTTGAAACAATATTTTCTTTCAGCTGCTAGATGAAATAACATTTATTGACACCCCTGGTGTCCTCTCTGGAGAAAAGCAAAGGACTCAACGGAGTTATGATTTCACTGGTGTTATATCTTGGTTTGCTGCAAAATGCGATTTGATTCTTCTCCTATTTGATCCTCACAAACTTGACATTAGTGATGAATTTAAGCGAGTGATTTACTCTCTACGCGGTCAGGATGACAAAATACGTGTTGTTTTGAATAAGGCAGACCAAATTGATACTCAACAAGTAAGGCACTATCAACAACTTAATTTAAACCGATTGAAATATTTCTGACAATTTATTTTTCTAGTTTGTGGCCTATTTATGTTCCCCGTATTGTAATGTCGCAGCTCATGAGAGTTTATGGAGCACTGATGTGGTCTTTGGGGAAAGTTCTAAATACCCCGGAAGTTGTACGTGTATATATTGGGTAGGTTAGTTGTCTTTGAAATAGACAGACAATGATTCATTGATTTGCTTGCAAGGGCTCCATTTTGTTATTTACTATTAATTTGAGCTTATGCTGTCCTGTTGCAGTTGAACACGATAAGTTTTTTATGCTTTTGCAGTTTTGGTGAAAAGAATTATGTTTATTATCTTTTCTTTCTTAGCATTTTGTAGGTGAATTCACATTTATATATGTAGTGTCTGCCTGTGCTTCACATTGTTTTCATGTTTCATTAATGAATTCGTTCTCTAATTAATTTGACATTCTTCAGCTGTTGGTTTGTTCTACTTTACCTGACTTTTCAGCTCATTCAATGATAAGCCTATCAATGAAGGCTTTGTCGGCCCATTAGGACAAGAGCTTTTTGAGAAAGAACAAAGTGACCTCCTTTCAGATTTGGCAGATATTCCAAGAAAGGCGTGTGACGGTCGGGTACAGTTCTATTTTCATATTATTTTTAGTTGGGGTCATACGAATGAGTAGAAGTATATGAATATAGCAAATTGCCGCAAACTTATGCTCCTTTTATTTGTTTGTATTTTCATTTTCTGGTTCTAAAATCTGATGTCATTGGAATGGTGCAGATCAATGAATTTGTCAAACGTGCTAGATCTGCTAAAATCCACGCATATATAATTAGCCATCTTAAGATGCAGATGCCTGCAATGATGGGAAAAGCTAAGGTGCAACAGAGGCTTATAGATGATCTTGAAGATGAATTTAAAAAGGTATCCTCCATCCGTTTTTGTTTCTTTAATTTCCTTAGTTTCTTAGTTACTTATAATTTTCTATCATCTTACAAAACAGGTTCAAAGGGAGTTTCATTTACCAGTTGGTGATTTTCCTAATGTAGATCACTTCAGAGAGGTTTTGAATACTTACAGCATCGACAAATTTGATAAATTGAAGCCTAAAATGATTCAAGCTGTAGATGACATGCTTGGTTATGAAATACCAGAGCTGTTAAAGAAATTTAGAAATCCTTATGAATAAGTTGAAAATTGTTTTTGATTTTGTCATGAATGTTTCTGACTGAGATTTTAATGTTTTTCTAAAATAGTTGAAATATTTTGTGTGCGTGTTGAATGCATAATGCCCACAACCTGTAAAGTCCAGTCCATGACATAAGATTGTTTAGACAATTGCCGCTCTATTTTATTTGCCTTAGTTGTATATGAAGGCGCACCATTTGAAGGTACTCTCTATCCTATTTATCATTTCTAGTGCCCTCGCGAGTGGTAGTGGGACAATAAAGGTGCTCTTGTATAACTGTTTCGCAATTATATCTAACCAAGACACATGTTTATGTAGCATATAATTTTTATTGGCGGCAGCATTTTTGGTTGATTGCTGGCGATTAAGTCACAGCTTCTGTGATGTTCTGATGTGAAGACGTTCACATTTTGGTATTCTGCAGTGTCTGTTTCACTTTGCCAGGGCAAAGGGTCAAGTCACTTTGCTGCTATCTTGAGTTTTGATGCAATCAAGACTTCAAGCACAGTTTTGGATGGCATTGTTTTACAGCTGTATGGCTATTTAACTGTTGTTTGCATCTTGCTGCTATAGAGTTTATTTTGCATCTATTTGCTACCGTTCCCACTTGTTTTATTTAGCTGTTGTTGGATCTTTCATTTTCTTTATGGTGTTGAAGACTTCTCACTTCTCAGCTGTTTTTTTAAGTTCTAAAAAGTCTAGTGGCGAAATACTCATACTCACTAAAAAGGATCCTAAGCCTTAAAGGTTGGCAATGCCCTTTTGAATAGGTGACTTAACTGCATAATTTCTAAAACTCCATGTCATCTTGAGATCATTGTTCTCCTTTACTCTTATTTTCTAAAAACTTAGTGTCAAATACTATGGTTTCAACTCTTAATATTTCAAGCCTACCTAGTAGGTTTCTCAACCTTGTATGTGGTATATTCGTTGGATAACCCATCAAATGTCCATAATTCAACCAGAGTCTTCAATTAGAAGCCTTCATCCGTAAGGTAGTAGGTTTCAAGCGCCCTTTCTTCACATTTCTTAGGAACTATTATGGAACACAAGTGAGGTGAATACAACAATTCTTAAAACAAAATCTTGAATTCTGCAAAGAAAAGGTTTTTATTAATCATTATAGTTTCCACCTAGTTGCCTATTCATATTTGGAGTCTCTAGTGAAGTGTGAAAGAAGAGAGATGCTCATTCCACTCTTAGTTTTGCCTTTCATACCCTTGAAAATTAAAAATTGTCATTTATACGTTTGGAGATGTATTTTCAGACACACTAAAATACGCTATTTTAAAATCCACCTCATTTTAATTAATATGGTCCGGAGATGCATCTCTGTATATTTATTTGAATGTATCTGGAGATGCATCTGAAATGTCCCTTACAAGTATTGAAAGTGTGGTAATTGCAAGGGGGATTACTTGGAAGATGCATATCTGAAAACCCTCATCTGAATGGTTTCAAAACAACACCATTGTCCCAACATTATAATTTTTTAGACCAAATTATATTAATGTAAAATCAAAGTAAAATCGTAGTAAAATTAAGTTTAATTAAAGGTAAATGAAAGAAAAAAGTCATACATTAAAAAATACAACACCTTACATAACATTTGTCCAAAAATATCAAAAAATAATACATTCAAACATAAACTACTGCGTATGTTGAACCCTTTACCTTCTCCTTCTCCAATTGTACTTCACAATGTTTCGTAACTTGACAATCATGTTCTCCATGAGGGCTAATTAGAGTGTGTCATCCTTAAAGAGTCTTGACTCAATGTCTTTTATACCCATCTCCACAACACGTCGATAGACCGCCGTCACACTTACGACATGATCATCTTAAACCTCAAGTACTTTCTGGTTAGTTAGTCTAGGTGGTCTTCCAAGAGCGTATGGTGTCATGATAGGGTGTGGCACCATATAAAACTATGTCATGTAGTCGTTTGCCACAACCCAATGTACAAGAACTGACACCGACGATACTCTTCTGGTATCAAGTGACTATCAGAATTATCCAGTATCACACCAAGATCTCTGCGGAGGACGCCCTAAGGAATGGGTCATATGGAGGTCTTAGAATAATTTGTAAGTAGTCAAACTGGTGCATCGCTCGCTCGGACAAATAAGGATACATAAGAGATGACCCACATGCCAACCATCCGCAATATAAGGAAATTGCGTCAAATTGTCGCGTCTGACGGTGACCCTTGTATAACATTGAAACCAATATTGTTGAGGAATCAATTCATGTTAAGTTTGATGATAAGCTTGATCCTGAAAAGTCAAAGCTAGATGAAAAACTTACAGATCTAAAGATCACATACTCAAACTCTAAGGGTGTTCAACTTGAAACAAAACAATCATCAGAAGCTGCTGGCACATCAGAATATGTTGACACATCAACACCTCAAAAGAAGCTCAAATAAAGAATCTCTCACTCTGAAGAAATTATTCTTGGTGACAAGGCAGAACCTGTCAGAACTAGATCTTCATTCAAGCAAGATGAAGAAACTCTTCTAAGATTGGTGTCTAACATAGAACCAACATCCATTGATGAAGCTCTTTTGGACTCTAAATGGATTTTGGTAATGCAAGAAGAAATCAATCAATTTTCCATAAGTAATGTGTGGGATCTAGTGCCAAAATCAAAAGGAAAACATGTCATAGGAACTAAGTGGGTTTTTCAGAAATAAGTTGAATGAACAAGTAGAAGTAGTAATGAACAAGGTCAGACTGGTTGCATAAGGCTATAGTCAACAAGAAGCAATTGACTATATTGAGACTTTTGCACCAGTTTCAAAGTTAAAATCTATTCGTCTTTTAATTTTATTTGTTGTTAATCATAGTATTATCTTATATGAAATGGTTGTTAAAAGCACATTTATGAATAGTTACATAATTGAAGGATTTTATGTCCATCAACCTCCTAGTTTTAAAAATTATAAAAATCTTGTTTATAAGATTAAGAAATATTTGTATGGTATGAAAAAAAAACTCCAAGAGCTTGCTATGAAAGGCTCAACAATTTTTTTTTGGAAAATGATTTTTCAAGAGGAATAGAGGATACAACCTTGTTCTGTAAAACATTAAAAAATAAGTTGTTAATAGTTCAAATATATGTTGATGATATCATTTTTGGTTCTACTAACGCCTCTCTCTACCAAGAGTTTTTCAATTCCATGCAAGCAGAATTTAAAATGAGCATGGTGGGGAAATTAAAATTATTTTTGGGAATTCAAATTAACCAAAACTCAAAAGGATCATACATTCATAAGAGTAAATATACAAAAGAACTTCTGAATAAGTTTGATTTGACTGAATGTAAGATTGCTAAAACTCCAAAGCATCCCACTTGCAATTTCCGAAAAGATGAGGAAAGCAAGAAAGTAGACCAAAAGTGAAATTCTGGTATGCAGATATCAGATGTCCTAAGAGATGTTGAGATACTGATATCTGTTAAACACACAAGGACCAAGGAATACAAAGTTAACAGTACAGAAAGTAAACAAGACACAGAAAGTTACTAACCCAATTTAGTGCATAACAACACCTACGTCTGGGGGCTACAAAGCCAGTAATGAAATCCACTATTAGCAGTATTAATTCAAAGCTAAACAACCTAGTTTAAAACTTCTCACTTAATACCTACTCAGTGCAACTTCTACCTTAGAGACCCATAGGTATGAAAAACCTTTTCACTTCCTACCAGTCACCACAATGACATAATTACAACTCTTTCAATGTTTTAGATAATACAATCCAAAAGACACACAATCACTCAACGCTTAAAAGCTTAGGAGTGATTGACAAAACTTACAACTCAATAGAGATAGTCTAGTTCAAACATCTAAGTGATGAATGAATGAGTCACAAAATAGTCTACCTCAAAGTATCAAAAGACACATGCGTGGCACATTACAACATTAATATCTTAAAAGAAACTCAAACCCTAAACCCTTATTTGCACACACAGTTTCTTCAAATGAATAATCCATACCAATTAGGTTTAGCAGGTCTCCTTTTATAGCCTTGTACAAAATGGTCTTGGACTCTTCCCATTTTGTTCAGTTTTAACCTACTACTGAATCTTCTCCAAAATAGCAGGAACAAATATTCAAAGTTTCCTTAAACATCTCATCATTTAATTTAGCATTTTGTGTACAGTTGGATATACAAAAATTTATTCCTGATAGCATCATCTTCACATGTGTAGATTACTGAGATAAATCCAAAAGGATTATCATAGAATTAAAATAAAACAAATTTGTCAAGATTTTAAAACAATCAGAACAAATGTTCTGGTAGAACATGTTCCAACATCTGCTCTCAAGGTGAGCTGAGCAGCATGTTACAACATTACACACAACATCCTGTAGTGAACCATATTTTAGCAAAATTGTTGCCAGTCCATAAACCATGGAACCTTCAATCTCCCTCTTTGGCAAATTTGGGCTAAAACACCTTTTGCACAATAAACCCTGGAGAGATGAATAAAACCACAAACACAAAACAACATCAGTTGCATTACATGTAACCATTGCAACTGTGTACATGAGGAAAAAGATAACCTGCACCTTCCAGAATTTCTAAGGTACTCCCCATAGACCACAAAACTGATCCTTGTCACGAAGTAATAAATCTCCCTCTCAGATCGAAAGAAGAAACTTTTCCGAAGAAAAAGAAAACCAACCTGGACGAAAGCTTGAACTGAACTAGTTCAAGTAATTAGAAACACATATGGCATAAGCCACAGTCATTAGAAATACATATGGCAAAAGTAACCAAAACATATCCCAAAACATGTCCAGAAAGACAGATCATCTGATAGAACATCATAGACCCAACACAAACTCAAAAACTACCTTTAGAGGCTTTTACTTTTATTTATTTTATCCCCCTGTTTGAGCTAAAATTTGACCAATAACAAGAAAAAAAATTGACTCTGCAAAAAAAAATTACCCTAAGACTCCCAACGAAAAACAAAGACAAACAAGGACC